TGAGCACTGAGTGTTATGTGGAAAATAATTTGACAATAAACTATTTGTAAAAAAAAAAAAAAAAAAAAAAGAAATCAGTTTCATTCGAAAACCGAAGCAGGAGGCATCACAATCCCTGACTTCAAGCTGTATTACAAAACTGTAATCATCAAGACAGTATGGTATTGGCACAAAAACAGACACTCAGATCAATGGAACAGAATAGAGAACCCAGAAAATGGACCCACAAACATATGACCAACTAATCTTTGACAAAGCAGGAAAGAATATCCAGTGGAATAAAGACAGTCTCTTCAGCAAGTGGTGCTGGGAAAACTGGACAGAGACAAGAAGAAAAATGAACCTGGATCATTTTCTTACACCTTTCACAAAAATAAACACAAAATGGATGAAAGACCTAAATGTAAGACAGGAAGCCATAAAAATCCTCAAGGAGAAAGCAGGCAAAAACCCCTTTGACTTTGGCTGCAGCAACTTCTTACTCAACACATCTCCAGAGGTGAGGGAAACAAAAGCAAAAATGAACTATTGGGACCTCATCAAAATAAAAAGCTTCTGCACAGAGAAGGGAACAATCAGCAAAACTAAAAGGCAACTGATGGAATGGGAGAAGATATTTGCAAATGACATATCATAATAGGTTAGTATCCTAAATCTATAAAGAACTTATAAAATTCAACACCCAAAAAACAAATACTCCAGTGACGAAATGGGCAAGAGACATGAATAGACAGTTCTCCAAAGAAGACATCCAGATGGCCAACCAACACATGAAAAAATGCTCAACATCACTCATCATCAGGGAAATGCAAATCAAAATCACAATGAGATACCACCTACCACCTCATACCTGTCAGAATGGTTAAACATTAACAACTTAGGCAACAACAGATGTTGGTGAGGATGTGGAAAAAGAGGATCTCTTTTTCACTGTTGGTGGGAATACAAACTCATGCAGCTACTCTGAAAAACAGCATAGAGGTACCTCAAAAAATTAAAAATAGAACTACCCAATGACCTAGTGATTGCACTACTATTTATCCAAAAGATACAGGTATGTTGTTTTGAAGGGGCACTTGCACCCCAATGTTTACAGCAGCACTATCAACAATAGCCAAAGCATGGAAAGAACCCAAATTTCTATCAATGGATGAATGGATAAAGAAGATGTAGTATACACACACACACACACACACACACACACAATGGAGTATTACTTGGCAATCAAAAAGAATGAAATCTTGCCTTTGCAATGATGTAGATGGAATCAGAGGGTATTATGCTAAGCAAAATTAGTCAGTCAGAGAAAGACAAATATCATATGACTTCACTCATATGAGGACTTTAAGAAACAGAACAGATGAACATAACAGAAGGGAAGCAAAAATAATATAAAAACATAAGAGACTTAAAATGGAGAACAAACAGAGGGTTACTGGAGAGGTTGTGGGAGGGGTGATGGGCTAAATGGGTAAGGGGCATTAGGAATCTCTCTTGAAGTCATTGCTGCACTATATGCTAACTAACTTGGATGTAAATTTTTAAATAATTAAAAAAAAAAGAAATTGTACTGTTAAGTGATCTAGTTTATATTTTTTGTAGTGGTTCCCAAACTTGAACAAGTATCAGAATCACTCAGAAGGCTCATTGTAACACGAATGGAGCTCCGATTCCCAGAGTTTGTAATCCAGTAGAAGTAGGATCAAACTCCAGAATTTGCATTTCTAACAATTTCCTGGGGGATGTTGATATTGCAGCACAGCATCAGAAACCACAGTTTGGGAATCACTGACCTAGTACATGAGAAGCATTTAGAAATATGGTTGGCACATTATAAGCACTCAAAATCTTTGTCATTCAGCTTTATCAGTCTCTCCCTTTATTGTGAGATGGTGGGAAGAGTCTCTCTCCTCCATACTGCTGACCTCTCAGCCTACTCTCTGCCACCCAACTTCCTACCTTCTCAGATAATTTGATCAATTGATTATTCACCCTATGCCCTTTTTGTTCATCTTTTTTCCTCTCTGCATACTTCTTCTGATTTGAATTAATAAAGTAGAATTTAAGCACATTTCTTCTACACAAAAAGAAAATCAACATCAATACTTTGGGCCCTTTTAACAATGGTTTTAACCCTCTTTCCCAGCTGAGCCTAACATTTTAAGAATTGTTTTCACTCATTTTCTCCATTTTCTCTACTCTTACTAACTCCCCAGCCAACTGCTTTCTGACTTATTTCCACACTCCTCTCTGATATCGCTCAAACACACACACACACACACACACACACACACACACACACCAACACTAACTGGGGTTCAGCTTAGTGTGCTGTGGACCCTGTTGAGAGATGGATGTAAGTAATAAATACTTGATGATCCTTAATGATCCTGGGAGGAATCATTAAACAGATGTCTGGACTGCCTGGGTTCCATCTCGGAACCAGAATTGGGACCCAATTCTCATTTCCAGAATGAACGTCTATTTGGTCTTCTCCCTCTTCGAGCAGTATGGGAAGGTGCTGGAATGTGACATCATTAAGAACTACGGCTCTGTGCACATAGGACAAGACGGCGGCCGAGGATGCCATACGCAACCTGCACCACTACAAGCTGCATGGGGTGAACATCAACGTGGAAGCCAGCAAGAACAAGAGCAAAACCTCCACTAAGTTGCACGTGGGTAACATCAGTTCCACGTGTACCAACAAAGAGCTTCGGGCCAAGTTTGAGGAGTATGGTCCGGTCATCGAGTGTGACGTCGTGAAAGATTATGGCTTCGTACACATGGAACGGGCGGAGGATGCAGTGGAGGCCAACAGGGGCCTTGACAACACAGAATTTCAAGGCAAACGAAGGCACGTGCAGTTGTCCACCAGCCGGCTTAGGACTGCGCCCGGGATGGGAGACCAGAGCTGCTGCTATCGGTGCAGGAAAGAGGGGCACGGGTCCAAAGAGTGTCCGATAGATCGTTCGGGCCGAGTGGCAGACTTTACCGAGCAAGATAATGAGCAAGATGGAGCAGTGCGTACACCTTACACCATGAGCTATGGGGATTCATTGTATTACAACGACGCGTACGGAGCACCCGATGCCTACTACAAGCGCTGCCGCTGCAGCTGCCTCTGCCTATAATTACGCAGAGGAGACCCTGTCCCAGCTGCCACAAGTCCAGAACACAGCCATGGCCAGTCACCTCACCTCCACCTCTCTCGATCCCTACGATAGACACCTGTTGCCGACCTCAGGAGCTGCTGCTGCTACAGCTGCCGCTGCTGCTGTTACTGCAGCTTCGACTTCATATTACGGGCGGGATCGGACCCCCCTGCGTCGCGCTACAGCCCCAGGCCCCACTGTTGGAGAGGGCTACTGTTACGGGCATGAGAGTGAGTTGTCCCAAGCCTCGGTGGCTGCGCGGAATTCCTTGTACGACATGGCCGGGTATGAGCGGGAGCAGTATGCGGATCGGGCGCGGTATTCAGCCTTTTAAAGCTTGAGGTGGGATGTGTGTGGGCTGAAATTCCGAGCTGCGATTGTGCATGAGAATACACCCTTCGTGATACCCCATCTCTGGGACGTTTTCGGCTCTGTACGTTCAGTCCCTCAGAAATTGTGGACCTTAATTTGCCTTGCTAAGTTCAGAGGAGTTCTTCCTTTCCTCTTTCCTGCCCTTTTTCCTGTTCTTCCTGTTCTTCAAAACTTCTGTAGTTTCCCATTTATGTTCTGTTCTCCCAGCAGGCCTCATTGTGTGCAGAAACTGTGGTGGTGGGGGGGTGCTGTCTCCCTGCCTCCTGCTTCCAGTGGGTGTTGGACTTGGGAATGACCTTTGTAAGCATGTCACTGCTCCTGAGTCTTTTTGGCCCAAAGGCTTGTGGCGGGTAGACACATAGAGTTGGATCACTTTTTTTTTTTCCAGTGAAATAAATGGTTTTTCAACTTAAAAAAAATGATGCTAATGAAAACAGATGTTTATCTCCTCTGGAAGCAGGTGGTATTGCTGACCACTCCTTCCTTGGCTCTTCTTGGGTGCCTGGGCCGCTCAGTCGGTTTAACATCCGACTCTTGGTTTCAGCTCAGGTCAGGATCTCATGGTTTGTGAGTTGGAGCCCTACAGGGGGCTCTGTGCTGAGGGTGCATGTGGAACTTGACATTCAATCTCTCTCCCTCTCGCTGCCCCTCCCCTGCTCTCTGTCTCTCAAAACTAGATACATAAACTTAATTTTTTAAAATAAAATAAAACAGGCTCTAATCTCTTGTCATCTTAAATCCATGCTCCCCTGGAACTTTTCCAATGGCCCAGCCACTTCTCCATCTCTTCTAGGAGTTCCTCTTCTTGGTGCTTTTAGACCCTGGTTTGTTTTGTCTTGTGTATTTGTTTGCCTATTGGATTTAACTCTTATCCAGGGACTTTTTCTCTTCTGACTCTTCATGACCTCTCCCTGAGCAAACTCTGTTGAGGAAGTAACACTGATCTGAAGGTATAATTTATTATGTAAAATAAGGGAAGTGTATCAGAGATAGTGAGGAGAAATAAAATATCTGAAGTCAGTGCATTTAAAGAAATAAACATATTATTGAGATCTCACAGAGAAACAAATAGGAATATTTGGAAGGAATATTTATATTACTTTGACCATAAAAAAGAGATGAGACAAAATGTAGAAGTTTGCAAGCAAGGCTCCCCTGTATACTCACCATATTCTGGATTCCCTTTGAAATAGAGACTATCCTTTATACCAATAATGTATACTGAGGAAAAGAAAGTGCCCCACTTAAGTGAAATAAATAACTGTGAGAAGTAAAGAAATTCAAGGTATAATTAGCTCAATGTTGAGAGAAGGCTTCAGGAAGAAGCCTTTGGATCATGTAAAAATTTGTTAAACTGACTCAGAGCACTGGAGCTTCTAGAGACTGCATACCTATTGTTTCCAACAAAATGTATTTTTAACCAGTACCAATAATGTATAGTTGCATACTGGTGTTACCTCAGAATAATATCCTGTATTCTCCCAGTAAATATTACCACATAGGGGAAATCTGGGACTGAGAAGTAACACCGTTCATTACCTGGGTGACTGTTAGAATTGAGGCTATCTGCTGTTCTGTTTCCTTTACCTCATAAGGCTGGGTCTCTTAGCTTATTCATGGCCCAAACCCCGTACGGCTCCAGATATGCATGTCTAGTTGAATGTTAGCTAACTCTGCTTGAATATTTCAGGCACTTCACACTCAACATTTACAAAACTGAACTCACCATCTTTTCCTACACCTGCTTTTCTACTTTTGTGTTCTGTCTCAGTGACTGGAAATTTCCTGAAACCAGTTGCCAGAGATAGAAAATGAGATATGATTTTCCCCCTTCCTTCTCCCTCAGACATTTCATTTTATTGATCATTATCATAGTCTATTGAGTCTGTCTCCTATATATTTCTTACGTCAATCCAGCCACCATTTCCAATTTGCTTATTCAGGCCATTCTCATTCTTCTTATAAAAGCGGAGAATGTGTCAGGTGATACTGTCTGCTGTGGACTGACCTAAACCTAATTGGCACTGTTGCGTAATGCTTAGGTTCTTTCTGGTAGATAATAATGGCTGTCAAAGAAATTCAGATAACAAAGATTAACTCCTCCATCACTACCTTGCTATTAACCTTTAATAAGAACAAATCTCAGGCCAACTTCTGACAAAACTATGGACATTTATTAGATATGTGGCCTTTGGTAAAATTCAAACCTTGCCTGTAGTTGGCATCATGTAATCAGAAATCTCCTAAGCTGATTTCTGTTTGTAGGATCAATCAGAGTTCAAACTTCAGGCATCACCTTCAGGGGATGGTTTACTGAGGTAAATTTTCATATCCTGGTCAGGTAACATTTGATAAAGTCTAAAGTGTTTTAGCCATTCTAGATGTCTTGACTATTTTTTATAGTAACTATTAATATAATCTCTTCCTACCCTACATCATACTAATTAACAGCCCTTTAGTTACATCAATAAATACTATTTCTAACACTCAGCATGCTACTTAGCAAAGAATTGGTTGTTGATAGAGAAAGGATTAGAGAAGAGTTTGGGGCAGGTGTCCCTGGATGTGGCCCTTTCTCACAGAATGTGAGCTGACCTCCCTTTGACAGTGCACTCTCAGTGTTGTGTTGGTAATCAGACCCAGAATTAGAGCCTAAACTAACTGGCGTATATATCACATCATATTGGCTATCCTAAAACCTTTCAAAATGATATTTGCTTATTGTAATGTAATGTTTCAGTCTTTTCCCTTCCTAAAACTTTGAAGTACTTCTTAAAATAAAACTGTGGCCATATTGTTTTCTTAAAATTATTCAATGGCTTCCCATTACTCTTATGATAAATAAAAATATCCTGAGACAGCCTCATCTGCCACCTATCATCATCTCTTACTCCCTCACCTTCACCCTTTGTGATTCGGCTATCCTGAACATCTCTTAAATATGACATTATTTTATCCAACTTCAGGCCTCACCATATAGTCTTCCACTTACTTGGAAAACTCTTCCCAGCTCCCTCACCAGGCCAAATGGTTCATTTAACTCTATTATTCCAGCCACAATGTGGGCTGACCACAATGCTCTGGGACTCTGGGCCTCACAGAAATATTTGGAAGATAACTTTTACTTATAATGCTTCCATAAAATTCCCCCTTCAAGCAGCTGTTCCCAGGTTTGGTGTCTGGTCTCTATTTTTCCTTAAGGTGGCTGACGTACCCAACGTCCATTCAGGATGTTTAGGTTGTGAATTGAGGACACCATGCCCCAGCTGACGAAAGAGAACATTGTCATATTTATGTGTCCTGAAAAGAGAGGTAATGTCACTTAAGAATTATGTGTAGGGGTGCCTGGGTGGCTCAGTCTATTAAACATCCAACTTCGGCTCAGGTCATGATATCAAAGGTGATGGGTTTGAGCACCGCATTGGGCTTTGTGCTGACAGCTAAGAGCCTGGCACCTGCTTCCAATTTTGTGTCTCCTTCTCTCTCTAACCCTCTCCCCACTTGTGCTCTCTGTCTTTCAAAAATAAATAAAAATGCTAAAATTAAAAAAAAAAGAGCTATGTGCAAGCAGGTATTCTCGTCTGCCATAAAAACAAAACAAAACAAAACAAAACAAAAAAACAGTTAAAGATGCCATATTATTGCCAAAGAGCTAAAACTGTTATTCCTTTCATTGCTTATGGAAAGGCTGGCGTTAGTAGAAAAACTAAAGTTAATCAAACGGGGCCCACATTTGGGTGGCATCCCAGAAGAAGTACAGAGGAGGCAGGTTTAGAAACCCAGCAGGCAGAGACACAGAAAACAAAATGGGTCATCAGCACGCACAGGTGCAGATTTATCCTGAAGACAACGATGCTTAAACAAATTTCGGAGCCCTTCTCTCCCTGATCACCGGGGATGCAGGGACTTGTGGAAAGCACTGGGTAGGAAGGGAAATCTATGAGGCAATCAGGACACCACTCTGGAAATTACCTTGAGAGAACTCAGATGAAATATAACTGAATCTCTGAAGCTCTAGCAATGGTTCATTTTAAATATTTGCTTGGGAACCTCTTTCTGTGTTTGTAGTTTTATATTATTTCAAAGAGGACCCTCACCTCATGTTACGTGAGTTTCGGGCTTCACAGAATTTTGATCTGCTCTGAACATAGGTAACATCCACATGTCTCTGACAGATGGAAAAGGCTAAAGAAGTTTCACTGTGCTTGCACTAAGTTCCCATTACTAATATTTTCATTTCTGGCTTAGAGCTCATGGTCTGGACATATTGGCTTTCTCTACTAATTCACTGGTATTTCTCCTCAAAAATTAATAGTAAGATTAAAATAATCTGTAAAACTCCTTTAACCTGAGGGAGTTTCCTTTGATTTTTTTCTTACAATCAGTTCTAATGATGTCATTTTCAAAAAAAAAAAACATAATTATTTTCACCTTTTATTCATATGATAAATGAGATGTGAAATGAGCTTCATGGATGATAAACACCCCAATGGCTACTAAGTTTTACAGTGTATAAACAAGAACTGAGCTGCTGCTACACAAAATTAACAATAAAATTTTACTGTAGATGCTAGACATAGACAGTGAAGTATCCTGAGTAAAAAGAAGGCCATTAGTTTTATAATGAAATATGAACATCATATGCATTTATGTACCTGTAAACAAAAGAGGAAATTAGTTTATCCCCACACACAATTAGAACTAAATGCCAAATTTTTACTTTAAATGTTAAAATCAATTATCCCTTGGGAAAAACAAAGTAAGGTGTCATAATTAGAAAACCAAAAGGGTGTCATAATTATAAGTAACTTTATGAAATGTTTTGTGGAATACATAAACATGGATGTCATTATATTTTCCAAGTTCTGAAAAATGCAAATAAAGACTAATGAACTTCAAAAGAAATACAGGCAAGGATCAGTTGTAATTTTTCACATTTTAAAAAGAAATATGATCAAAAGAGAATTTTAAAGTGTTTTACCAAAGAATAATTAACTTTAGGGGAGCCTGGGTGGCTCAGTTGGTTGAGCGTCCAACTTGGGCTCAGGTCATGGTCTAGC